GTTGCGTCCACAGGTTTCTTCCTTGAAGCATTCCTTGAAGGCTTGCTACTGGAAGCCCCGGTCTCTTCTTCCTCGAGGCACTTCTTCCCACGTCCCCGTCCACGGCCCTTCCCACGTCCACGTCCAGAAGGTTTGCCCTCACGTTGCTCCGAAGGTTTGACAGGCAACGCTCCAGCCAATTCATCAACAGGGCGAGGTACACCACAAACAGGAGGAACGCTTGAAGGTTCCGTTGTCACCGTTGTCACCTGCACAAACCATGAAGTCTCCGCACTAATGCTACTGTTTTGTTGTACGTTTTTATCCATGCAATTAGATTCATATGACGTTGATTGCATTCTACGAGAGTTTTAACCACCAAAGATGCCTTGCAAGTCTCGGCATTCTTGTCCTTGTCATCGTGATGTGCAGAAGAATTGTCCTTGGACTCTTTCCCAGAGGGTACCTCGCCATCACTCGGATCCTCCGCCCACACAGACCCAAGAGACAATGTGCGCGCATAAAGGAACGTGGGCTTTGAATCATACAAGGTTTGCACGTCATGTTCCGTAATGAGGTTGTTCAAAGCCTTCGTCCGAGCCTCAACTGCAGCTGCTTCTGTGGCAGCAGCATGAACCATTTGATCCACATCTTGCGGCTCCATGGGAAGAGTGTCCAGCACATCAGGGCCTGAGGCTAGGAAAAGTGATCGGAAGAATCGTGCGCGACATAACATGCATGACATATCGATCTTACGTTGTTAAATTTTACCAAGATGCTAGTTAGCTGCACCCGTCGAGCAGTAGGATCATTCCGTGGAGTCTTGATAACCGCAGGAAGATCATCCAGCCGGGTCTGACCCACTGGAACAGGGGGAAGCTCCTTCTTGGCTTTGACAGGTGGTAGTGGTGAGGCATCAATCACTTCTCAACCTCACGCTTGGAGCGTTCTGCAAGAGCCATCTCTCCACGTGCCCTGTTGCAGGCTCGTTGGTGGGCCTCATCGTAGTCTTTCGACACTTTGACAGCCCAAATTGCAATCTCCTTGCTGAACCCATTCTCGTGCAAAGCGTTCATCTCAGCCAGCGTTGAAGAATCCACACCACGGATTGCCTTACAGCCAACATCCTCATCGTTTTGGAGTGCTGCGGACTCCAACAGTGCTCTTTGAAGTGCTTTCTCCTCCAGCTCCAGCTCCTTTGACTCCAGAAGAGCATCTTGCAGGCGTTCTTCCTGCTCTAAAGCTGACATCATCTCCACATGCTGGAGGAGTTCCATTTCTTCCTGCATCATAGCATATGCAAGCTCTTCATCCTGAAGCTCTGTCAAGACCGCATCCACAGTCGTCAACAGCTCCTCATCAGTCGTTGTGGGTGCACTCCCTGAAGTAGCCGCGATCATTGTTCCCCTGGCTTCATCGGGCAAGACAATGTCCTTTTCCGGTTTCTCCAGGCGCGCTTGTTCTAGCTCCGGATTGCAAGCTTCGCCACGTAGGAAATCAATGTCACCAACAAGACCACATTTTTGGCACTTGTAGGCATGGATGCGATCCTTGACAATGTGGTGCTCATGTGGACCCACAGGAAGAAGATGATATTCCGAAGGAGGAATCAATCGAGATCCTAAGATTGCATGAAGTTGAGAATGGATATCGTAATCAGAATCGTTCATGCACATGCATGCTCTCACACACACACATAAGTGCTACAGTAGGGGTAAATCATTGAGCTTGGGCACCATCACCGCAGGTGTGCTGCAAGCCATGTAAGCCAGCGAGGAAGCCCGGGGTCCTGGATCCGCGTGAGGAGGCACGCGAAGTTCTACAAAAGAGTGAGTAGACAAGTAAAACACATCACGCAGTTGGGACAAACTGCAGTGGGTCCTGGTGGACAAGGTTCTGAATCCGTTGGCCGTGCATGCACTTGATGAGTCTCATCAGATTTGTTGGGTCCTTGATCAAGCTCCTGGATCAACCAATGATGAGGGTTGGAAACTGAAGAGTCTATATGCAAAAAGATAGGCACACACGTTTGTTATGTTTTTTGTTTCCTCTGGAGCTATCACAGGATCTTCTTCTTCAGGTTCGGTTTCACCACCCTCTTCTTCCCCCCCCAACCATAGCCATCATCGCCCTCATCACCTCCACCAGCTGCAGCAGAGGATACAAGGGATGAAGATGAGCGACCTTGGACGGTCACATCACTTCAACAGTGCAACCTTTGTGGAATCTTGTGGAGTTGTAAAAGGGTTCATTCAAACATGTCTTTTTAGACCTCTCCTCTCTTTTTATCTCCTTCTAAGACTCTAGGACTCTAAGACTCTAAGTCCACGCTCTTATGTTTCAACCGAAGGACCACCAGTGACTCCACGAGGAGAAACAGGAGGGATTGGTATCTCAGCAACTTCCATGATTCGTAGGAGAGATTGTTCTCGGGGCCTGTGCCCTCTCTTGATTACCCTGCTCGCGGTAAAGACCAAAGTGCGCAAGATCCAAGCCTCGACCTGGACTTCATTGCCTAAGTGCACAGTAGGCATACCCCGATGTTAGTGGGGCGTCTAATGAAGCACTGCACCACCAAAAACAAACAAATGAGAGTCAAACGGGTAGGAAGCGCTTTGCCACGGGGTCGGCAGTAGGACATAAAGAGCTCCACTGCTTCCATCAGAACCGACAAAGTAGGTTTCATTCCTGGGCAATTTGAAAATTGATGTACTTGCATTTGTGTAGGGTGTTGGTTTTGGAGAGATTTGGTGACTGTTCTACTTTCTATTAAACGCATGTAAGTGCAACCAAATCTCCAAGATTCTCCACAATTGGAAGTATGACAGCCAGGTTCTGACAAATGTCAGGCCTAGATACGCATTCTTTGGCTTTGACCCGGGCCATCATTCCAGCAGCACCAAGAGCACATAGAGCTTCAGACTTTTGCCATGCAGCTATCAGCTGTTGCACGGCTCTAGATGAATCTGCCATTGATCTTATCAACTCACAAAAGGCAAACTCTTTTTTGGTGCCAAATGGCTAGTGGTAAGATGTTTGAAAAAAACACCGTTGTGAACAACCACACATCTCTTCCAATAGCTGGTCAGATCCCACCTTCAATCCAAATCGTTTTCCGAGGCCATCGTCATCGCGGGTACCTGCTGCTCACACGAGCGCACTGGTGTGGGGTGAGTGATAAACAAAAAGGGGCACGTGGTCAACCTCGTTGGTCATCTTCCACCCCAAAGCCAAATGGCTTCAGAGCGGCATGGCAGTTATATCAGGAAAGTTGCTTGTTTTGGCTAAAGTGCTCGGTTTGAGCATTTCTGCTCGTTTTGAAGATTCATGCTCGTTTTAGAGCTCAACCACTTATAAGTGCTCGTTTGAGGATGTAGGGGTATACTGCGGCAAAATGCCATGTGTCTTTACAGCAAAATGCGTCCTGAATCCGTCGCGTACACGCATATCATTTGTCATCAGCAAGTTGTCATCCCCGAACAAAACCCTCCAGCCACTTACAATCACAGGCCTCAAGCAGATCGAGCAGCGTTTTGCATTGGACAATACAGATGTAGTTTCCAGTAATGGCGATGGCCTCCAACCTAATAGCCATGGCCTCCAACCGGATAGCGATGGCCTCCATTGTGTTTGTGTAAATCGCTAGTAGTTCCATGGTGTTCCAGAAGTGCGTTGCGGTGTTGTCGGTGTCGTCCTATTTGAGACGCCATGCGACAAGCATCGATTGTCGGCGCCCACAGCACTGATGGTGCCGTGCAAAAGGAAAAGGCATCCAAACAAGATATGATGTCTTCAAGTCTGCCATGAGCTTTGGAATTCGAGCCTTTTCTTGATGTGTCTTATTTGGACACCAAAACACATGCAATTCAAGTGCTTGTTGTTGGAAGTGTGGGGAAAACAGGTGCAACCAGGCCTCGTTGCACGAGGTACGTAGTTTGTCCCCAAGGTGTTTTTCGTTGCAACGAAATCCCAGAAACCTTTG